AAAAAAAACATTCAGATTATTTTTTGAACCATCAAAATAATATATTTATGTGTGCCAATGGGTAATTTATAAACATCGAGTTTCAGATGATCTCTGTGTGAAAATGATTTTCAAACGCAATCATAAACACCTAAAATATTGATATTTATAAATTAACCATTCCGATGATTTTCTTGAACTGCTCAATCAATTTATTCGTGCGTCCCACTATCAAACTGTTGCGAATTTGATAAGAACGAAGGATATGAGTTCGGATTTTATCATAAGTTTTGATATTTGAGTGAGAATTGAAAAATGGTAAAAAGAGGAGGGTTTCTGTAAATACCACAATTTGGGTGAACTTTATAATAAAAATCGGAAATTTATGATTACCTGAAGTTTCTGGGATCATTCCTGTTAATAGTTCGAATTCTCTGGTAGATAGAAGAAGGATTTGTGTGGAAGAGAAGGTACTCAAGCTCCCCTGTATCTCCATTAAACCCAATCTTCTTGCTTCCGTAACCAATAGGATTGGGAGGTCCAGCTTTCTGCTTCTCTGAAGCAGGTAATGAAAAGAACCCCTCACTTTCTCTCTCAACATTCTGAATAATATCCTCAGAGACTCCATGATTGATGAGCTTGAAGAAACCGAATTCCTCAAAAGCTCTCACAATGAGTTTGCTCACTCTGTCTCTGTTCCATGAGAGGTCTATCAATGGCAAATCAAGCTGGAGGAGATCCTTGGTGTTCTCCTGCGTGATCAAATGGTTGACCACCATGGCTGCTTTTTTTACAGTGCTGAACAGTGAGGGGATGAAGTGGAGAAGGAGGGGGGTTTGAGAAAGAGATGAGCTTTGAGAGGCATTTATGGAGGTCTATTATGGAGTTTTTGAGGTGAGACAAGTGCAAAGGGCCAAAAGATCATATTTTTAGATTCCCACACTGTGAAAAATAGGATTAGAAGAAGCATATTGGTTAATAGCTATATGTTTCTTCTCAAGGGGTTGAAGAAGGAAGGAAAGTTCCTCTATTGACCATTTGCTTGAATATTT